ACCAGCCTGGCTAACATGGCGAAACTCCGTCTCTACTAAAATACAAAAATTGGCTGGACACTGTGGTGGGCGCCTATAATCCTGCTACTCAAGAGTCTAACCCAGGAGAGTAACTTGAACCCGGGAGGTAGAGGTTGCAGTGAGCCGAGATTGCGCCACTGCACTCCAGCCTGGATGACAGCACCAGCCTCTGTCTCAAAGAAGAAAAAAAAAAAAATCCATAACCTGCAAAAACTACTCTTTCTCTACTAGACCTGTGTTTATGTCAGAATTATTTCTGTGTATGTTGCATTTTCATTAACATATATGTACAGTGTTTTTTCATGCTTTTTTCTTCTAAACAACAGAAAAAAAGTTGAATTATGAAGAAAAGGTATACTTACACCAGTTTCTGTATCTGTCCTTTTATTTTCCTATTCATTTATTTATTTGTTGATGAGATGAAGTTTTGTTCCTATCTCCCAGGCTGGGGTGCAATGGCACAATCTCGGGTCACTCCAACCTCCAACTCCTGGGTTCAGGTGATTCTCCTGCCTCAGTATCCCGTGTAGCTGGCATTACAGGCGTGTGCCACCATGCCTGGCTAATTTTGTTTTTTTTTTTGAGACGGAGTCTTGCTCCGTCGACCAGGATGGATCGCAGTGGCGCGATCTCGGCTCCACGCCATTCTCCTGCCTTAGCCTCCCGAGTAGCTGGGACTACAGGCACCCGCCACTACACCCGGCTAATTTTTTGTATTTTTAGTGGAGACGAGGTTTTGCCGTGTTAACCAGAATGGTCTCGATCTCCTGACCACATGATCCACCCGCCTTGGCCTCCCAAAGTGCTGGGATTACAGACATGAACCACCGTGCCCAGCCATAATTTTGTATTTTAATAGACACAGGGTTTCTCCTTTTTGGTCAGGCTGGTCTGGAGCCCCCGCCCTCGAGTGATCCACCAACCTCGGCCTCCTAAACTGCTGGGATTACAGGTGTGAACCACCGTGCCTGGCCTCTCTGTCTTTTTATTTACCTTTACTGGAAAACTTTATATATATTTGTGGGTTGGAGTTTCTCTTTGGACTTCTTTCATTTCTTTCTTTCTTTTTTTTTTTTTTTAAGACAGAGTCTTGGTCTGTCACCCAGGCCGGAGTGTGGTGGTGCGATCTTGGCCAACTGCAACCTCTGCCTCTCAGGTTCAAGTGATTCTGCTGCTTCAGTCTCCCAAGTAGCTGAGACTACAGGCACATGACACCACACCTGGCTAATTTTTTCTTTTTTTCTTTTTTGTAGAAATGGGGTTTCACTGTGTGAGCCAGGATGGTCTCAATCTCCTGACCTCCTGATCCTCCTGTGTCAGCCTCCCAAAATGCTGGGATTACAGGTGTGAACCACCATGCCTGGCCAGCCTCAAAGTTTTTAAAACATGTTATTGCTATAGATGCCTTCAAGCATTGGAAGATTTATAGTACAGGCTCTAAACTTCCTTTGTTTAATCAGATTTGTCAGTCTTCGGTGATGTTGATGATGAGATGCTCCTGTTCCTGTCTCAGTCATTTCACTGTCCTGTCAGAAGTAGCTTAGACTGGCCAGCCGAGGTGACTCATGCCTCTAATCCCAGCAGTTCGGGGTGTCAAGGTGGGCAGATCACTGGAAATCATGAGTTTGAGACCAGTCTGGCCAACATGATCAAACCTCGAATCTACTAAATACAAGAAATTGGCTGGGTGCGGTGGCTCAAACCTGTAATCCCAGCACTTTGGGAGGCTGAGAGGGGCAGATCACCTGAGTTTAGGGGTTCGAGGCCAGCCTGGCCAACATGGTGAAACCCCGTTGCTACCAAAAATACAAAAATTAGCTGGGCATGGTGGCGCATGGCTGTTATCCCAAGTACTTGAGAGGCTGAGGCAGGAGAATCACTTGAACCCGGGAGGTGGAGGTTGCAGTGAGCCAAGATTGCCCCACTGCACTCCAGTCCAGGTGACAAAGTGAGACTCCGGGCTGAGGTGGGAGAATCTCTTCAGGCAGGAGAATCCTGCCACTACACTCCAGGCTGGGTGACAGAGCATGTCTCGGTCTCAAAAACAAACAGGAAAAGAAACAGCTTAAACTAGGAGGCTTCAGACATAGAAATTTATTTCTCATGAATTTGGAAAGTGAAAAATCCAAGAGCAAGGTGCCAGCCAAATTGTTTGCTGGTGAGAGCCTTCTTCATGGTTTAGTCCAGCCATCTTCCTGCCGTGTCCTGACACGGGGGAAAGAGGAACAGAAAACGAACTCTTTAATATCTCTTCTTATAAAAGCGCAAGTCCTATTCATGAGTAGTCAACACCCATGACCAAATTCTCTCCAAGGCCCCATCTGCTGGAAAATCCTATTGGAGAATAAGAACTCTGAACATGGCTTTTGGCCAAGAAGAACATTCATACCAGGGAGCCTGCATCATATTTTTTATGTTTTTATTGTGCAATTTGATTTATAAAATGTTTTCTCTGATCTCAGTTTAAACATTTTCCCAGCACACATTCTATGTTTTATATTTTGTGCATAGTGAACTAGATAATTAAGGCCAACAATGCATATATATATAGAATTGCTGTATTGCCTGGCTGTTTCATAAATATAGTTGTGACATGGTAATTGCACCCTCTGGCACTGTTAGTCATTCTTTTTTTTTTTTTTTTTTTTGAGACAGAGACTCGCTCTATTGCCCAGGCTGGAGTGCAGTGGCATGATATCGGCTCACTACAACCTCCACTTCCCGTGGTCAAATGATTCTCCTGCCTCAGCCTCCCAAGTAGCTGAGATTACAGGCACCCACCACCAAGACCAGCTAATTTTTTTGTATTTTTAGTAGAGTTGGGATTTCACCATGTTGGCCAGGCTACTCTCGAACTCCTGACTTCATGATCTGCCCGCCTCAGCCTCCCAAAGTGCTGGCATTATAGACCTGAGCCACCGTGCCCGACCGTTAGTCAATTCTTATTCCTTATAATGCTGTGTAGTTTTTTGACCTCATAAATCAGAAGGTAGTGATCTTAACATGTATTTCAGTTCTTATATTGTGTGCTCATTGTAAGTAGAAGTTTGGCATTTTTCTTAACAGGGAATTGTTTAGAATTTTGCAGTTTGTATACATCTACTTATTATTTGCTTGCTGGTTTTATGGATTACAATATTTTACTAATTAAATTTTATGACCGTACATAAGGCTTTTCAGTATGGGTATACAACATAACTGACACAGTCCACTAGTTAATGTCACAAAGTGCCACTGGACGCTGTGGCTCACGCATGCCATCCCAGGACTTTGGGAGGCTGAGGCAGGTGGATCACTTGAGGTCAAAAGTTCAAGGCCAGCCTGGGCAAATGTTGAAACCTTATGTCCACTAAAAATACAAAAATTAGCCAAGCATGGTGGTGTGTGCCTTGAACCTAAAAGGTGGAGGTTGCAATGAGCCAAGATCAGGCAGCATTGAACTCCAGCCCATTGTGACACAGCAAACCTTTGTCTCAAAAATATAAAAACTAAAAAAAAATTTCAAATGTCACGACATGCATTTTCTGCATGGATTTAGGTAATTTTATGACAGTTATTCAGAAAAACATTGTATTTTTTTTTTTTTTTGAGACGGAGTCTTGCTCTGTCGCCCAGGCTGGAGTGCAGTGGCCGGATCTCAGCTCACTGCAAGCTCCATCTCCCGGGTTTACGCCATTCTCCTGCCTCAGCCTCCCGAGTAGCCGGGACTACAGAAAAACATTGTATTAACTTTTTTTTTGAGACGGAGTCTCACTTTGTCTCCCAGACTGAAGTACAGTGGTGCAATCTCAGCTCACTGCAACCTCTACCTCTTGGGTTCAAACGATTCTTGTGCCTCAGCCTCCCAAGTAGCTGGGACTACAGACGTGGGCCATCATACCTGGCTAAATTTTGTAATCTTTTCTTATCTTCTCAGTGCTATGATTGTTTGACAACATAGAATTGCCATTGATTTTGGTTATCCTTATATGAGGTTGTTGTGGATTATTTACCAATATAGTATATCATGTGGTCCTTTAGCATTTTTTTGTATACAGTAAATATGCCGTAAATATGAAGAATATATACTTTTCATTGACGTGACAGTGATGTGTTTTGCAAACTGTTAGACACTTTAGGGTCACAATGGAAAAATATTTCTTACTTTAGGCTACACATGTTTGTGCCCTGTCAGTGTTTTGTCATGATATTGGAAATAGGCTTCCGTAAAAATAATCTGAAGCACGTGTAATTGCCCTTTATTTGTTAAAAAATCTTACGCTTTTCTGTTCCTAAACTTTGAGGGTCATGTTTGGAAAGTTTAAAATAAGTATTGTTTTTTGTGTCGTATTTACACATTTCAGCATTATTTGCCATCTGTACTTAATTTGAAACCTTTTGGTGTTTATGTTTTGTAGATATCTCTTCCAAATGCAAGATGAAGGAGTTCTTGTCAACAGCGCAAAGCAATAGAGAAGTGTTCCACACAGGGACATTGCAAAGACATGAAAGTCATCAAATTGGAGATTATTGCTTCCAGGATGTTGATAAAGATATTCATGACTTAGAGTTTCAGTGGCAAGAAGATGAAAGAAATGGCCATGAAGCACCCATGACAAAAATCAAAAAGTTGACAGGTAGTACAGACCGATATGATCAAAGTCATGCTGGAAACAAGCCTATTAAAGATCAGCTTGGATTAAGCTTTCATTCACATTTGCCTGAACTACACATATTTCACACCGAAGAGAAAATTGATAATCAACTTGAGAGGTCTGTCAATGATGCTTCCTCGGTTTCAACAACCCAAAGAAATTGTTGTAGGCCCAAAACCCATATATCTAATAACTATGGGAATAATTTCCAGAATTCTTCATTATTTACACAGAAACAGGAAGTACATATGAGAGAAAAATCTTTCCAATGTAATGACAGTGGCAAAGCCTTTAGTAATAGATCACTCTTAAGGAAACATCAGATAATCCATTTAGGAGAGAAACAATATAAATGTGATATATGTGGCAAGCTCTTTAATCAGAAACAATATCTTGTAGACCATCGTAGATGTCACACTGGTGAGAAACGTTACAGTTGTAATGAGTGTGGCAAGACCTTCAGTCAGACGTCATCCCTTACATACCATCGTAGACTTCATACTGGAGAGAAACCTTACAATTGTGAAGAATGTGACAAAGCTTTCCATTTCAAATCAAACCTTGAAAGACATAGGAGAATTCATACTGAAGAGAAACCATATGAGTGTAATGAGTGTGGGAAGACATTTAGGCAGAAGTCAATCCTTACATGCCATCGTAGACTTCATACTAAAGAGAAACCATACAAGTGTAATGAGTGTGGCAAGACATTTAGGCAGAAGTCATCCCTTACATGCCATCGTAGACTTCATACTGGAGAGAAACCTTATAAGTGTAATGAGTGTGGCAAGAACTTTAGGCACAAGTCATCTCTTACATGCCATCGTAGACTTCATACTGGAGAGAAACCTTACAAATGTGAAGAATGTGACAGAGCTTACAGTTTCAAATCAAACCTTGAAATACATCAGAAACTTCATACTGAAGACAATCCTTACAAGTGTAATGAGTGTGGCAAGACCTTTAGCCGAACGTCATCCCTTACATGCCATCGTAGACGTCATACTGGAGAGAAACCTTACAAATGTGAAGAATGTGACAAAGCATTCCGTTTCAAATCAAATCTTGAAAGACATAGGAGAATTCATACTGGAGAGAAACCATACAAGTGTAATGAGTGTGGCAAGACCTTTAGTCGGAAGTCATACCTTACATGCCATCGTAGACTTCATACTGGAGAGAAACCCTACAAGTGTAATGAGTGTGGCAAGACATTTAGTCACAAGTCATCCCTCACATGCCATCGTAGACTTCATTCTGCAGAGAAACCTTACAAGTGTAATGAGTGCGGCAAGACCTTCAATCAGCAGTTAACCCTTAGACACCATCGTAGACTTCATACTGGAGAGAAACCTTACAAATGTGAAGAATGTGACAAAGCTTACAGTTTCAAATCAAACCTTGAAATCCAACAGAAAATTCATACTGAAGAGAATCCTTACAAGTGTAATGAATGTGGCAAGACCTTCAGCCGGACGTCATCCCTTACATGCCATCGTAGACTTCATACTGGAGAGAAACCTTACAAATGTGAAGAATGTGACAAAGCTTTCCGTGTGAAATCAAACCTTGAAGGACATAGGAGAATTCATACTGGAGAGAAACCATACAAGTGTAATGAGTGTGGCAAGACTTTTAGTCGGAAGTCATATTTTACATGCCATCATAGACTTCATACTGGAGAGAAACCTTACAAGTGTAATGAATGTGACAAGACCTTTAGTCAGAAGTCATCCCTTATATGCCATCGTAGACTTCATA